ATCTATAAAATCCACAAAAGCAAACATATCTAGGGACACTCTCACCGAAACCCAACTATACAAAAATGACCAGAAACTTATCCTTCATATGAGCCACCGATTCATCCACCCGTTGCAAAATATGCCAATTACACTCCAATCAAATCATCCACATCAGACATAAAGATGCCAAAACCCACGCCTTCTCTTCCTAACCCTATCTCCTCTCTAACCATGAAGAACACCCTCAACGCTCTCTTGTTGTACCCAAACAACACCAAACACACAAAAAATCAACACTCAAAGTTGATATGCCACCGAACAATGAAGAAGAAGATGAGACACCGACTTTGCAGCCCCATGGCACATACAACACCAATTGACCATAATTAGTCGATGCCGAATAAGATTATCAATTGTGAGAATCCTATCTAACGCCCACGCAAAGAACGCTACCATGGAAGGAATTCTAGCAATCCATATACTGCCATGAAAATGAAGCTGGACGCCTCCCACCAAAGCCCTGAAAAAAGATGACACTGAAAACACTCCCTTAGCACCCTGCCACCGCCACACCAAGCAATCATCCCCCTCACCTGCCACTCGAACTCCATACAGATAAACCAACAAATCCATTAACTAATCAACCTCCCAATCCTAAACCTGCAACCAAAACTTCACAACCCAAACCACCCTCCCCTCAAATAGGTAGCTGCCCTAGCATCCCTATCCTCCGCAAGTCAAAAAATCATCGGGAACAAAGAAGCGTGATGTAGGATGAGTAAGGATTACTTTCCTACAAGTAGTAAACCAGGTTAAGTATACTAGCAATAGTAACAATAGACTTATAGGGCTGGAATTGGTGGGAGTTTGTGGCTTCAAAAGTATTTAAAAAATAGGATTGTAAAAGGGTAGTTGGCGAATGAAAATACAAGTGTCTAGGGGTTGTTGGGTGGTTGTTCTAAGCACTATGAACAGTGTTGGATAGTAGAAGAAGAAGAGAAAAAGGCACTTCACCCTCACAAGAGATATGCCAATCACACAAACACAATCTCAAATTTTCATAACATTAACTCTGCTCTTAAATCATTGAGATTACACATATATTTATAGGCTAATGACTCTCCTAATTCTACCAAGACTATAACTCAAATTTAAAAACTAAAAATATTTAGCAATTACTAATATTCTAGACCAACTATGACTTCCAATTAAACTTTACTCATAATAGGAAACTTTAATGATTTCTAATTCTACTTCAATATCAAAATAGGAAATTTGCACTTTTGACCACTAAAATTGTTTTAGTCATAATAAAACCTATATATATAATGACCCATTTAATAACTTGACCTAAAATAAAACCCATGGGCAACCCCTAAAACCCATGTCCAACAATTATTACAATTACCATTATACCCTTAATTACTAAGCCTACTATAATGACATGAAGATTCAAAATTATTCCAAATCTTTAATTCTCAATGCCTTAAATGTGTTTCATGTGAAATTCTAGATTTGCTCCTTTTCTTCTTTCCATGATCTTCATCATTCTCCCCTGTATTCAAAAAAACTCGACCTTGAGTTTTATAATGTTGAAGTATAAAGATTATGGAATCTTGCACTTGCAACCATTCAAATTGATTACTTTGAACGAACGATGAGAAAATCAAAAAGTTCAATGTTGTCATCAATCCATTGACCACATCGAATTTATTAGGAATAATAAACTCAATGTGAGTTTCATTTTTCTTGTGAAGAGCAGAAAGTTCAGTTGCATTCGCATCATTTTCTTTGGCTTTCTTGGCTTTAGAACCTTGATCACGACGATCTTTCATGCTTTCTTTAGTAAGCAAATTAATTTTCGCCTTCATTTCTTCAATATCCTTAATATTAGCAACATGTTCATCTTTCTCTTTTATAGTTTCTTCAAAATCTTCTACACTATCAACTTTTTGCTCCTGGATATTAGTCTTTTGTAAAACAGCACCCAACAATCCTTCCATATAAGCTTTCAATCGATTCAAAGTTGTCTTGATAGTATGCACATCACTCTTCATTATTATAACATCCTCCTTAATTATCACAAAATCCTCCTTTAACATCACAACATCTTTCTTAGTAGCTCTACAATTTGTTGACAAAGCTTCAAAATTCCAATTTAATTCAACGCTTGTCAACATTGTCATAAAGAAAGCAATTTCATCAAAAGAATGGTAAAAAACAAGGTAGGATCTTGAAGCTCTGATACCAAACTGATGTAGGATGAGTAAGGATTACTTTCCTACAATTAGTGAGCCTGGGTTCAGTATACTGGCAGCAGCAACAATAGACTTACAGAAATGGATTTGGTAGGAGTTTGTGGCTGGAAAATAGGAGTTTTAAGGGTTTGTAAAAGGGTAGGGTTTTGGTAATGAAAACACAAGTGTCTAGGGGTTGTTGGGTGGCTATTCCAAGCACTGTGAATAGTGATGTAAATAGTAACCTTGCTAGATAGAAGAAGAAGAAGAAGAAGAAGACATGCTTCACCCTCACAAGAAATAGGCCAATCACACACAGTCTCTCAAATTTTCATAATATTAACTCTGCTCTTGAATCATTGAGATTACACATATATTTATAGGCTAATGACTCTCCTAATTCTACCAAGACTATAACTCAAATTTAGAAACTACAAATATTTAGCAACTACTAATAATCTAGACCAACTATGACTTCTGATTTTACTTTAATCATAATAGGAAATTTTAATGATTTCTAATTCTACTTCTATATCAAAATAAGAAACTTGGACTTTTGGCCACTAAAATTATTTTAGTCATAATACAACCTATATATAATAATTCATTCAATAACTTGACTTAAAATAAAATCCATGAGTGACCCCTACAACCCATGTCCAACAATTATTGGAACTACCATTATACCCTTAATTATTAAAACCTACTATAATGACATGAAGACTCAAAATTATTCCAAATCTTTAATTCTTGACGCCCTAAATGTGCTTCATGTAAAATTCTAGATTTACTCTTTTTCTTATTTCCATGATCTTCATCAAAGCAAGATTCTAATCCCTACTCTGAAATTGCACTAGTTTTCTCCTCCCTACCTGAATGCTAACCACCTTTGAAACTCCCCCCACACCAACAAATACATTTCCACCAACCCTTACCATGATCACTATCCCAGAACTCCACCGCCCCACCCAACCCCACCCCATACTTTGTCACCAAAACTTCTTCCTTTCCTACACAAAACTCCATAACCACTCAATAAAACCCTATTGAAAGTAACCAACCTCCTTACCCCAAAACCCCCCACCTCCTTCAAGCTACAAATCATATTCCAATCAACCAGATGATACTTAAACTCATCACCCACATCTCCCCAAAGGAAATCCCTCTGTAACTTCTCCAAACGTCAAGCAACCGATACCGAAATCACATGCACAAACATGAAGTAGACCGCAAAGGTAAACCCAACTAAGACGCAGGCAAAAACGAAACCCTACAACCAAGAATAGCAGTCGAAGTCGATAACTACCTAACCTCCCCAACTAGGATCAACTCTGACTTTGCCAAATTCACCTATCGACCCGAAACTATCTCAAAACACACCGTTAACTACCCAAGTATGCCGCCTCAAACCCACAAAAAAATCAAAGCATCATCAGTATCCAGAAGATGAGAGACAACCAAAGGCACCACATTCTTCACCCCTACCACAAAAGCCTTCAACAACCCACCATGTACAGCCTGAGATATCAATCTATTGAACGCCTCCATCACCAATATAAACAGCAAAGGAGAAGAAGGATCCCCCTATCATCATAGACCATAACAAGAGTGAAAAAAATAGCAGGCTAAATCATTTTAGGTTATACTCACCAACCCAATTACCAATCTTGAAAGTACATAACTAAGAGAATGAACTTATGTCTAATCCTATTAATTTACGAGGTAAACACAGCATTCCTGTATCAAATGCTTTTGGCCATTTAGTGGGTATCGCCAACCTTGACTCAAACCTATATCAAATTTAAATTTTGGTAGAAATCACTCAAAAACCCTCTCCACTCTTTTTTCACCCAAACTTATATCAAATTAAGTTTTGCCCTTTTTTTACCCAAATCACAGAACTCCTCAAATGTTTACTCAAAATTTTCAAGACCATTTTGTAGCATTCAAATTTACAACTCTGCCATTATTAAAGCTTTTACTCAAATCTCTGCATGAATCATAGTTTATCCATTAGAATGTTACATATCAAATAAAGCTTTTACTCAAATTTGAATAAAAATTTAAGCAGGGGCTAGAGATGGCTTGACTCAAACCTACATTTGGGTAAAAATTACTCAAAATCCCCTCCATTCATTGACTCAAACTTATATCAAATTGAGTTTTACCCATTTTTACCCAAATCATGAGAAACTCAAATGTTTACTCAATTTTTCAAGACCATTTTGTAGATCTCAAATATACAACTCTGTCGTTACTGAAACTTCTACTCAAGTTTATGCCAAATTTATGTTTGTCCAATTTAAGTGTCTCACATCAAACCCAAAAACAGAATGGAGATTCCCCAATTAAGTCATGAATACATACATATATATATATCACTCCAAGTCCTACCACTGGATCGAATGACAACAATTAATCAACAAATACTAACGAAAATAATTGAATCAACAAATAGAGAAACTAAGGGGTTGTTTGGGGATGTGAAAAAAAATCTTAAAAAGATAAAAATTCACAACGTTGTTTGTCATCATCAATTAAAAAAATCAAATGTCACATTAACTGTTTCAATTTTATTTTTATTTTTTTTTTTTAAAAAAATTTGTTAGCAACTTCCCATACCCATGTAACTCTTCTAGAACCTTAAAAAAGGTTAAAAAACCACCCAAAAAATGGAACCCCAAACGAACACTAAATCTCATAGTCCCATGAGAAATGCAGTCAATTCAATTCAATTCAAGCGTTTAAAATGAATGGATTGAAAAGGGCATACATACATACCTTGACTGTGTCGAAGGGGTGTCCGATGATAACAGTTGCAACACCGGCGAGCAAACCGGCCAAATAATCCTTGTAACTCGAACTCTCCTCCATCCCTCTCTCTCTTTTTCTCTCTATAACCCGCCTACTTTGCAGTAACTATGAGAGCACATCATATCATGGTCTCTTTGTCACCATCTTCTTCTATGCCCGTGTGTGTCTAGTCTGGGTAGGTATGTGTGCGGCGGGAGCCTCTATTTACATACATTTACAAACCACCTTTCATCTCTGAAGCGACACTGTTAATTGATTTAATTTTTATTACAATATTAATTTTATGTAAAATAATTAAAAAGGACAGAGAATTATGATACATACTTTTTGTAAAATTATCATAAAAGATTATAATGAATACAATATACACCAAGTATCTCAAACGGTATTTACGTATCTTTACTCTAAAGAATCCAAAAATCTTAAGACAAAAATCAAAAATCTTAAAAGAAACAATCAAAAATATACGTATTATTAAAGATTTTGATTAGACTAAATGATAGATGCATCTGGCAATATTAGTTTAAAATAATAGAGGAAGGAAATGTTAGTTTTTCTTCTTTTTTTTCCCGTTTTCGTTTACTTGTTGAGCGGTAAATCGTTTGTATTCATTCGATTATCCAGAGTCAAACAATATATCCATATTTGACTATCTACAACCGAACAAATTATATATGTTCGATTTTGTAGTGTCGAACTTTGCTTGGCTTACAACTCTTGTACCATCAAGAATTGATAGTGTGAAGGGGCCTTTTATAAGCATGCTAGCATATTGTGAGTTCTGAAGTCACTAACGCCATCTTCTCTTAAACTAATTAAATTTCGAACTGTGAGATTCAATAGTCACGATTCAATTTTGTTCGACACTCACATTTCAAACATATTGAAATTGTTCGATAGACTAAGGGTTGGTTTGGAGTGTCCTAAAAAAGTGCACTTTTTGTCTTTTTACGAAAAGATGTGCAGAAAAGTAGAGAGGTGATGTGATGAAAAAAAGATAAAAAGATGGATTATATAGTAGACGCCAAACCAACCCTAAGTTCGAATAGTTTGCTTAAGTTCGACACTAAAATGTTGAACATATTGAATTTGTTCGACAGAAATACTCCGGACAAAAGGTTAATGTTCAATAGACCAGTGTGAGGGTGAGATGGAAAATATGATTGGGATGTGTGAGTAAGGGCAAGGATGAAAGATTGTGGTGTGTATTGAGTAAATTTTGTATTTATCAAATTACTAAAGGTGTGTCTTAAATAATGGTGTGCCTTAAGACGAAAGGTGGTATGTAAATAGAGGCTCTCATGTGTATGAGGGAGTGAAGTGTGAGTTGTGTTGTGTGTATATATATTTGAATGATAATTATTAATAATTATTGAGTAATTTCAAAATATATTGGCGTGATATTTTATAGTATTGTGATTGGTGTATATGGTGCATAGATAGGATGCTGTATTAAGTGATTGAAAAATATAAAAAGTAAAATAACTGATGATGGATTAAGAGTACGGATACATCATATTCTAAAAATAATCTATAATTTTTCATATTTGAATAATAGGGGTGTTGCTACTGTGGTATATCACGTGTTTTAATTGGTGTGTTCTATTTGATAAAGAGTGCAAGATTTATAACTTTGTATCAAGTATTTTGGATTTGTGATTAGCCCATGATCACGTGATGTTTTGGACCAATTAATAAATTTTTTTTTAAAAAAATTATACACAGATAAGAGTTAAAAAAATTACATATAGAAGTGTAAGTGTATCTGTAATGAGGTGTACACTTACACCCCTCTTTGTGTCAATAATTTTTTTTTTCAACTTTTACAAATTACATGTAGGGCTCCCATAATTTTTCTGTGGGTAAATTACACTTTGCACCCCTGCACTTTACATCAAATCCTACTTTGGCCCTTACACATCAAATTGTGACACTTAATCCTTTGCACTTTTGGTCAAGTGTCACTTTGGCCTTTATGTTAACCTCATTATTAACAAAGGTTAGTCACGTGAAAAACATGTGAAGATAAATTACACTTTACACCCTTACACTTTACACAAAATCTCACTTTAGTCCCTACATACCAAAATTGTGACACTTAGCTCTCTAAAAGATAACTTTTGTTAGTCTTACTATTAACAGAAGGGCCAAGGTGATATTGGACCAAAAGTGTAGAGGATTAAAGTGTTACAATTTAATATGTAGAGATTAAAATGAGATTTTGTATAAAATGCAATGGTGCAAAGTATAATTTATCCTTTTTCTGTCGCTAATGTGTGCTGATAGTGCAGTGCAATAGTACTAAAGCACATCACAATCCCTCACACGGCATATTCTCTTCTCATCCAATTTTAGGCCTCGTTTGGAAACATGCTAATTTAGTAACTTTTTGACTATTTGGCTAAAATATGAGCTAAAAAAAACTAGTATGTTTGGGATGACTTTTTAACTTTTTACGAAAAGATGTGCAAAAAGTAAAGAAAAAAGAGAATCTTTGACTTTTTGGTATAAATTGTTGGCTTTTAATTTTTTTAGTGACTTTTTAACTTTTTGGTTAAAAAAGCCACTTATCAAACGAGATTCAGTATTACCACTTCCTGATAGTAGGTACTTATTTTAGTATTACCACTTCCTAATAGGATAAATATTAGATCCTCCCTTCCACTTCTTGCTTCAAGCAACAAAACAAACCATAACAATACACTAATTAATTCCCAATTTAGCCGGCTTTTCTTATTTTTGTCAAAATTAGGGTAAATTATAAAATAAAAATACTAAAAACACCCCAGAAAATTAAGTAAAATTAACTTGAAAAATAATTTGATAAAAATTTAAATATTGAATTAAAATAAATTATTTGATAGGTATAATATTAAATCTAAAATTTTATTATTTTTAAATTTTATATTATGATAATAAGTTGGTGTTGGTGTTGGTGTTGGTAGTGGTAAGAGTGGTAGTGGTTATTGTTGTGGTGGAATCAACAAAGATGCCTATAACGCCAAAGACAATTGTGGTGCAAATACAGCTATAGTTGTTGTTTGGCAATAATTTTTTTAGTTGACTTTTTAAAGTTGAGACTTTTTTAACTTGGAATTAAAAAGTTTGCTTGGGTTGATTTTTTTGACTTTTGTAAGAGAAAAAATGAAATAATTATAATTTAGATTTAACATTTTATCTTATTATTTTTTTAGTTTATTTTATCTTTTAATAATTAATTTAGGGGTTGTTTGGAAAGTGCTAAATTAATATACTTTTTGATTTTTTATGAAAAAATGTGAAATATGGGTTGAGTTTGAAGTGATGTTGTAGTGTTAGTAATGGGCGCACATGTGGCATGACCATTTGAATTTGAATTTGAATCTTATCCAAATAGGTTTTGAAATTGAATTCAAATCTATTTAGGATAACCACTCAGGATACAGATATTATCTCCATTACTGATATGGATAGATAATAATAACATATTATATATCTGATATATGGGTTATGGGTGATTATGAGAGAAACAACGTATGATCTGAGTTTTACCCATATACTGACTCTCTCCAAAAAACAACGATCAAGTCATTTGCACTGTGATTTGTGTGGGTGATATTCATTCTGTAATATCACTTCACTGCTGGGTTGGTTTATCAGACTCTGGAAGCACGTGATTTATCCACGAGGTTCTATCATCTAAAGGTATGATCTAAACATTTTATCCGCTGCATGTTTTATACTTTGATTTACATTGGTAGTCCTCGGATGCCAACCCTACACA